ACTTCAAGGACGCTCGCATGGTAGATGGGACGCCACTTCACATAGGACCGATCATCTGCAAGTTGCGCGTAGTGCTAGGACCGATCACAGCCAGGCGTGATTTCGACTCTGCGACGCTGGACGGATACGATTTTATCTTCGGGAGAGATTGGCTACGGACGGTTAGTACTCAGTTCGATTGGGCTCAGGGAAGCTGCAGCGTCAAGGTAGACGGGGAGTTCCGGGAGCTGCCACAGTGGAGCGATGGGGCCACATCATCCACAGCTATCATTAATGCTGTTCGTGTGCGACAGTTAGTGCAGCGTGCGGCACGGATCTTCGCGGTTTTTCTTGAGGAGGTGGAAGCTGAGGAGGGGAAAGGAGGGAGTGCAGCAGTTAGTGAGAAGGCGACTCTTCCTGCTGAGGTGAGTGCACTGTTAGCAGAGTTCGCAGACGTCTTCCCCGACGAGTTGCCCCCAGGGTTGCCTCCCAGCCGAGCAGTAGACCATCGAATAGAATTGGAGCCGGGGAGCAGGCCAGTAGCGAAGCCGCAGTGGAGGTTGAGTCCAGCGGAGACAGAGGAGATGACGCAGCAAGTTAGGCACTTTTTCGCACAGGGTTTCATACAGCCATCTAGATCGCCTTGGGCCGCACCGATACTTTTCGCACCCAAGAAAGACGGAGGGTTACGGATGTGCATAGATTACCGCGCACTGAACGCCGCCACCGTCAAGAATAGATTCCCGGTGCCGAGAGTAGAGGATCTTCTCGATGCAGTGCAGGGCGCTAGAGTCTTCTCAAAGATCGACCTTCGTTCGGGTTACCACCAGATTCGAGTAGTTCCAGAGGACCAGCACAAGACGGCGTTTCGTACTAAGCAGGGGTTGTACGAGTTTAGGGTTCTACCGTTCGGATTGACCAACGCCCCAGCGACGTTTCAGACGCTCATGAACACAGTCCTCTCCGAGTTCCTAGGGTCATTCGTTGTCGTTTACCTAGACGACATCCTAGTGTTCTCTAAGACGAAAGATGAGCACGTGCAGCACTTGCAGAAGGTCTTCGAGGTCTTACGGAGGGAGCAGTTATACGCTAAGCAGTCGAAGTGCGAGTTCTTCCTTCCAGAGGTCGAGTTCCTAGGACACGTCGTATCCGCTAGTGGCATTAGGACCGACCCGAAGAAGATCGCAGCAGTACAGGATTGGGTAGCACCGACCTCAGTCAAGGAGTTGCAGAGCTTCCTCGGTTTCGCGAACTACTACCGTCGTTTCGTTCAGGGTTACGCATCGATCGCTAGTCCACTCACCGACCTACTTCGGAAGGGCGTAGAGTACGTTTGGGGTCCAGCGCAGCAGCAGGCGTTCGAGCAGATGAAGCAGTCGCTCACGTCTTCACCGACACTGTCGTACCCTGATCCCACTCGCCCATACGTTGTAGTGACCGACGCTTCCGATCAGGCCATAGGAGCAGTGCTTCTTCAGGACCAGGGACGCGGGTTGCAGCCGATCGCGTACGAGTCGCGTAAGCTTAGGGGAGCGGAGTTGAACTATCCCATACACGACAAGGAGGCGCTCGCGATCATCCATGCGTATAAGGTGTGGAGGTGCTACCTAGAGGGGGCAGATAGTGTTATACGCACGGACCACTGTTCGCTTCGTTTCCTCAAGTCGCAGCCGCAGCTGAGTCGTCGCCAGGCTAGGTGGATGGAGTTCATGGAAGGGAGCTTTCACTACAGGATAGAGTACAAGCCAGGCGTGCGCAACCCAGCAAATCCGCTCACTCGCCCTAGTTGTCAGCTCGCCAGTCTCACAGTCACTGCTGGCCACCCACTTCTCACAGCACTCTTCGAGCACGGTTACACAGTAGATCCCGACTTCACACCGCAGCCGCCCGCAGGAGCAGAGGTGCAGGGTAGTGTCTACATACGGAAGGGTACCACACGGATTTGGGTTCCAGCCTACCGCCCTCTTCGACAGCTCCTTCTCTCAGAGGCGCACGACATAGTTAGTGCAGGGCACTTCGGAGCAGATAAGACGGCTAAGACGCTTAGTCGCACGTACTACTGGTCCGGGCTTGCAGCATGCGTAGAGGATTACATTCGCTCGTGCGACACGTGTCAGCGTACGAAGTCCTCTCGCCAGCGCAAAGCAGGACTCTTGCAGCCGATTCCACCGCCCGACCGCCCTTGGCAGGTAGTTACCATGGACTTCATCATGGCTTTACCGCGCACAGTTAGGGGTCACGACGCCATCTTCGTAGTAGTGGATAAGTTTTCTCGAGCAGCGCATTTCATCCCCACGCACGACAAGGTCACAGCAGAGGAAGCCGCGACGCTGTTCGTAGATAACGTAGTCCGACTGCACGGGGTTCCAGATTCCATCATCTCAGACCGCGACCCTCGTTTCACTTCGAAGTTCTGGAAGCAGCTTTTCGCACTGTTTGGGACTCGCTTAGCCATGTCGTCTGCGTACCAACCCAGAGACAGACGGACAGACCGAGCGTGTGAACCAGACCTTGGAGCAGATCCTTCGCAGCATCACGATGCACGACGCAGCCGCATGGGACAAGAAGCTGAGCATGGCAGAGTTCGCCTACAACAACACGCACCACTCCACCACAGGCATGTCACCGTTCTTTGCACTTTACGGTCAGCACCCCAATGTCCCCACTCGTGTCGATCTCACACCCACAGTCCCTCGTGCGGACAACTTCCACCAGCATCTCACCTTCATTCATGATCACGTGAGGAAGCACCTTGAGCTCGCAAATGCACGCATGGCACGCACCACCAACCGCAGTCGTCGTGAGGTGTCGTTCGCAGTCGGCGACCGTGTTCTCTTGGATAGCCGCAACCTCCGACTGCCACAGGACAGCAAGCTTCGTCCACGTTTCATTGGTCCATTCGTCATTGAGCGCGCACTAGGTCTAGTCGCATACCGCCTTCGCCTTCCCGCACATTTCCGCATGCACCCGTCATTCCACGTGTCTCTCCTTCGCCCATACACCGATCCCAATGCCACCTTCTCGGGCCGTGATCACACTCCACTGCCGGTAGCTGTTGACACCGACGAGCCCGACTACCAGATCCAGCGCATCCTCAGGCACCGTCGCCGTCTCCAGGGGGGTGTCACTTTCATCGACTTCTTGGTTCGTTGGCGTGGTTACGACGCAGCAGACGACAGCTGGGTTCCTTCGTCCTCGCTGTCTCCTGACAACGCTTGCCTCCAAGCGTACCTTCAGTCTGCAGGCGCCGCGGACGTCGCCTCCTTGGGCGGGGGGTAGTGTTAGAGGGGTGTTTACTGTTCATTCCGAACAGTACATTCCTAGTCACCATTATCCTTATCTTCTCAGATTCTCTAGTGCCACGTGGCACTCTACTTTTCTTGCACTCCAATTCTTGGTCCCACATTCCACTTTCCAACCTTGTTTCTTGCATGCTATATAAACCTTGCTTGTACTTGCCATTATCAATCAATTCTCATTCAACTCTTCTTCAATTACTCAGTAACTTCTTCGCCTATTTCGCCAATAGTTCTTTCGCCAAAGTCTTCCGCCGCGTTTCATCCTCGACTTAGTCGACCCCGCTAATTCTTTAGCGGACTTAGGCCGTCGGGCCTAACACTGTCTCTCATTTCCCTAGCACTAGGTGTAGAAGCTTGACTTTCCTTCGCAGAACACCGTTGCATGATCGCCTCCTCAGCACTTGTACTGTACCTTCTACCTTCCTTCCCAGGTATTGCTCCCTAGCACATCTGTCATCTCAATGCCCACCACTGCGCTAGGCCCTTTCAATAGTCTGCGGTAGGTATCGCCGTGCGGCCGCCAATATCTGCCGGCCCTTGCCCTCTGCTCTAGACCTATCCACTCCACACGTTTTTCTCGGCCGGAGGTTTTCTCGCTCGCCGCACGTGAAAGGCGAGAGGCTTGAACTCATTCTCCCCACTGCACACCCGACTGGTTTCACTGCTTGAAAGTTTACATTCTCGGCGAAATGCTCCCAGGCAAACGACAATGCCAGCAGATTGTCGTTTCCCGCCTACTATCGCAAGGCGAGACTTTGAGCCGCAGGTTCCACTGCACGACCCACTGGTTTTTTTGTTCTTGAACGACTACATTCTTGGTGAAATGCTTTGTTTCCCAGGCAAACGACGACGTCACGTTGCAAGATTGTCGTGTCCCGTGAGAAATATCACAACTCTCTTTCGATTGTGTGGTTGATGGATCAATCTCGGTCTTCAAGCTCTCAGCCGCTCATAGGTCATCCTAACCCTTTCAGCCAGTCGTTTTGATGCAAAATCGGATTGAGCGGCTCGTGTGATCAGACCGTGATAGGGTAATCCACGCATCCAATGACATTTCGCATGCACCTGTCTAGGGTCATCCGCGGAGATATCTCAGCTGTTCACGCTACCCGACAGGGTGACCGGAGTGGAGGATGAGTCGCTAGCGCATGTCGTGCACTGCCCTGCGCGGCGACTCTTCATTCAAAGTAAGCAGTGCGGAAAGGCGCACCACCCATCCGCGCCTTCCTCTCGTCGGTAGTCAGGTGGATCTTGACTTGCAACTCGCGTGCTTCCTACCAACTGCGACAATGTTTGTCTCATGACGAGCGGTTGTGCGGCGCATCATGGCGTGTCACCACAAACAGAAACAATGCGCAGGCCTCTTACCGGTTAGAGCCCTTGTCGCCCCTTTTGTGTGGCCCACCTGCGAGCAGCCCCGTCCGCGCGGGCGCAGCTCCCTTGTGTCCCCTTCCCCACCTCTAATTCTCCTCTCTCAACTAGCCCCGCGTATACGCGGCCTTTTGCGATGTGATACGCCTCACCATGATAGACCAGCGCGTTTCCCCATCCCTTTCCCCATTCAAGGGGGAAGTTCATCCCCCCTATCCCTTTTCGCCCTCTCCCCCTATCGCGCGAAGGGGAGAGAGGGTGTGGGGCGAGGAGGAGTGGAGGGGATCCCTCTCAGCTCGATCTGAGGGGAGGGGAGGGAGGGGGACTTGAGCCTTCAGTATCAACCGTCTCATGGTCATGGTACATAAGCCGCTCGGCTCGCCTCCCCTTCCACTCCTCTCGTGGCACGCCACAACCACGACTGAGCCCTCGGAGGCTCATCGTCTCTCTCTCATCGGCACGTCACCTCTGCCGGCACTGCTGCGGGCTTCTCGCCCCTTCTCGCCCTTCTCGCCCGTCTCGCCCTTCTCGCCCCACCTGTTGACTGTCATGGGTTCGCCTTCCCACGGCGTGGCTGTGCGGAGCCTCGTGCTCGCTGCACTGGCTGCTCTCATGCTCTCAGGTGTGCCCTCGTGCTCTTGAATCTGCTCTCAGGTTCTCCCTCCTCCTCCCTTTCCCCCTTCCCCCCTCGTCCCCACATTCCCGTTTCCCCATTCACCTCCTCCCTTCTCATCACATTCTCCTTCCGTTCTTCCCTTCCTCCTTCAACCTTCCTTCCCCCCACCCCGCCTTCCCCCACCCCTCTCCCCCATCCGCGCTCAGCCTGTGCGCCCAGGGCTGCCGCCATTCGCCATTCGCACGGCCTGCTGACAGCTGCTTCAAGCAACGCCGCTGACCGTAAGTCACCCGCCTCACATCACCAAGCCAGAGATTCACACCCTTGCCCGTCTCCTTGCCCTCAACCCCTCAAAGGGTATGACGGACGCTGACCCCTGTTAGCATAGCACTCCTCCCACTCACCACTCTGCTCCTCTCACCTCTCCTTGCGCCACTCTTTTTCTTCACCGTGCCCATCCCATACTCCATTCGCTCGGCCTTGCTCCAGTCCTCTCTTGACACATCACGCGGATCACTCCCACCTCTCGTTTCTCTCCACGTGTGCATGCTCCTCGCTTTCACGCCTCACCTCACTTTTTGTCTCCTCGTTTTTCCTGTCCTCATCCCTTCCTTCCCTCTCTGTTCTTCTCTGTTTCTTCCCTCCTGGATCCCCTCTCTGTTTTTGTTTCTCTATTTGAAAATGTCTGCCAGACTCTTGTGTGCAGCGGAACTGTGGGCCCAATTCGGTCTGCGTGAAGGACAGGGGCGTCGCCAGCTCGCCTTTTGTCTCTCATTTTTCCTCTCCTCATCCCTTCCTTTCCTCTCTGTTTCTTCCCTCCTGAATCCTCTCTTTCTCTCTGGCCACTTGGAAAAATGTCCGCCAGACTCGTGTGTGCAGCGCAACTGTGGCGCCAATGCGGTGTGCGTGAAGGACAGGGGCAGCGCCACCTGCGTCTGCAACGTTGGATTCTCCATGACCCCCACCGGCTGTGTTGGTGAGTCAGTGCTGCTGGTGGTGAGTGAGTGCTACCCACCACCACAGCCTGTTAGACCTTCATGGCTTCAAACTGAGGCCTCCTTCATCTGTTCTTCTTCATGTCCCCTCACCCGCCCAACTCCCTCCCCTCTACCCCCCTTCCCCAGACAACTGCGCGCTCAAGGCGTGTGGCAGCAACGGCAAGTGCATCAAGGACAGTGCTGGAGTGGCGTCCTGCGTGTGCAACGCTGGCTTTGTGCTGCAGGCTGACAAGATTACATGCACTGGTGCGTATGTGCTGATGTGTGATTGCACAGCAACAGATAATAACCCCCCCTGTCTTTTCCGACAGATCGCTCTATTCCGACGCTGTCTGTGTCCTAACCTCCTTCACCGTTGATAAGTCGTTTTTTCTGCAAGAATCACGCACGGCATACCCTTCCTATCCTACTCACAACTGTTCCACCTTTCTCCCTGCTTCATTCCTCCCCACTCACTATGCCTTCTACCCTTCCCTTGGCAGACACGTGCGTGCTCAAGAGGTGTGGGAGCAATTCCAAGTGCGTGAAGAGCGCTGCAGGAGTGGCGTCCTGCGTGTGTGACACTGGCTTCTTGCTGCAGCCTGATGGCGTCACTTGCACTGGTATGCCATGTGCCATGTCCTCTGCCATGTGTGCCATGCCTTGCCATGCCTTGTGCCATGCCTTCTGCCATGCCTTGTCTTATGCAAAGCGCTATGTCGTGTGCCATGCCATGTGGTATGCCATGGACCATGCCGTCAAGTGTCATGCTATGCATTGTCAGGTGCCAGGAGCCTTGTCAGAGCGTGTCCAGCCTTGTTACTTAGGCAGTCATTTCCCATCGTCCTCACCCGCCCAACTCCCTCCCCTCTGGCCCCCCTTCCCCAGACACATGCGCGCTCAAGGCGTGTGGCGTCAACGGCAAGTGCAGCAAGGACAGTGCTGGAGTGGCGTCCTGTGTGTGCAACGCTGGCTTCGTGCTGCAGGCTGACAAGACTACATGCACTGGTGCGTATGTGCTGATGTGTGACTGCGAGATGCCACACAATGGTTGATATGGATGTGCTGATGTGGAATCACAGTCATGCAGTTTCCCCTGCTCTGTTTCGACGCTATCTGTCAGTGTCACGTAATTCATGTGTTTCCTAATTTCTTACACTGGTGATAAGACGATAGTTTTGCCGACTCAAGAATCACTTACAGCATGCTCTTCCTACTCACAACTCTCCCAATTTCGACCTTTTACAGACATGCATGAAAATATCCTTGCTTCGTTCCTTCCCTCTTAAGTAGGGCTTGTCCTCTCCTCTCCACTCTCGATGCCTTCTTCTCTTCCCTTGGCAGACACGTGTGTGCTCAAGAGGTGTGGGAGTAACGCCAAGTGCGTGAAGAGCGCTGCAGGAGTGGCGTCCTGTGTGTGTGACACTGGCTTCGTGCTGCAGCCTGATGGCGTCACATGCACCGGTATGTGCCATGCCATGTGCCTTTTGAGTCGCTCAAGTGTTTTATGCCATGTGCCATGCCATAAGCCTTGTCCTCTGCCATGCACCGCCATGCTTTGTCCTCTGCCATGTGCCATGCCTTGTAAGTGCAATATGCCATGCCTGGTGCTATGAATGTGCCATGCCATGTGCCCCACGTTGTATCATTGTCACGCACCAGGAGCGCGTCGATGCTTGTCATTTCGATGCTTATCTACCCATTCTCAGCCACCCCTCTTTCGCTCAATCCCAATTGCCTGCCCAACTCCCTCCCCTCTGGCCCCCCTTCCCCAGACACATGCGCGCTCAAGGCGTGTGGCGTCAACGGCAAGTGCAGCAAGGACAGTGCTGGAGTGGCGTCCTGTGTGTGCAACGCTGGCTTTTCTCTGCAGGCTGACAGCACCACATGCACCGGTGAGATGCCATGTGCCTTGTGCCATGTGCCATGCCATGGGTTATGCACATGCAGGTGCCATGCCTTGTGAGATGCCAAGGGCTATGCCGTCTTGTGCTTCAACGTGCTAAGTACTGCAAGTGCCATGCTGATACGCGCCAGTCCTGCAGCTTTTGCTTATAAAGTGAGTGCTGCTGTAAATCTCATTCTCATCTGTTTTTCTTTCGCGTCTTACTGTTCTTTTTTAATTAATTCTCTGCGTGCCTCCTTTCAGACACCTGCGTCATCAAGAACAAGAGCTGTGGTGCCAATGCTGCTTGTGTGAAGGACGCTCAAGGCGTGGCATCCTGTGTTTGCAGAACGGGCTTCCAGATGGTGAAAGGCCTTTGCATTGGTACGCATCATCTTTCCAAATAGCTGTGTAGTCGTTTCCGTTTTGCTCCCACTAGCCCTCTATTCACAGTCTATCTCTCCCTCCTCCCTCCTTCCCTCTCTCCTTCCCTCCCCCTGTGTGCACGTCTCTACTCACACTCCTCTTCATTTCTCTTCCCCTGTTCACGTCCCTCCCACGCCATGCTCATCCATTTCCTCGACTCCTCATTCCCCTCCCCCAATTTCTCCCCCCCACACAGACACCTGCAAGATCCAGAACTGTGGTGTGAACGGCCAGTGCATCAAGGACAGCACTACTGGAGCGGCGTCCTGTGTGTGTGACTCTGGCTTTGAGCTGCAGGCGGATGGCAGGACGTGCACTGGTATGTGATGAAACTGGTGTGTGCTACTCTGTGCGCTGCTGTGATTGCTCCTAATCTCATGTCCCTTCTCCCTCTAGCAAACACCAACGTGTGGGCACTCGTCATTCCAGTCAATCAACCTATGTCATGATTTTTTTAAGCCCTTGCCTGTTACACCCTCTCCTCCTTCCAATAGCTGAGGGACACAGCAGGTAGGTGTGGGGAGTTTGTGACCCATCTTCCCAGCACCCCGAACGTCTCTGCTAACCCCTCCCTCCCTTCGCTTGTATGCACGTCTCTACTCGCACTCCTCTTCTTCTCTCTCCTTGTTCACGTCCCCTACACACCATCCTCACCTATTAGTAAGTGCCATGCCTTTGCATTGGTACGCATCATCTTCCCGATTAGCAGAGTAATAGTTATCGATTCCCTCTCCCACTCCTCGCTCCTCCCCTCCTCCTTCCCTCTCTCCTTCCCTCCACCACTCCTTCCTTGAATGATCTCACGTCTGTACTCACACTCGTGCGCACATCTCTACTCGCACTCCACTTTATTGCTCTTTCCTCGTTCCCGTCCCTCCTACACCATTCCCGCCCATTTCCTCCACTCCTCACTCCTCCCCTCCCCCATCCCTCCCCCACCCAGACACCTGCGAGATCCAGAACTGTGTGCGCGGCCGGTGCATCAAGGACCAATTTGGAGCGGCGTCCTGTGAATGTAGCATTGGCTATGTCCTGCAGGCGGATAACAGGACGTGCAAAGGTATATGATGAAACTGCTGTGTGCTACTGCATTCAATTCTGTGCGCTACTTTCTGTGCCGCTGTGGTTCCTCCTGATTTCATGTCCCTTCTACACCATCCTCGCTCGTTTTCTCCACTCCTCACTCCTCTCTCCCATCTCTCTCTCCCATCCCTCATCACTCAGACACCTGCGACATCAAGGACTGTGTGTATGGTGGGTGCATGAAGGACGGACTCGGAGTGGCGTCCTGCGTGTGTCAAGATGGCTTTGCGCTGCAGGCGGATGGCAGGACGTGCACTCGTACGTGTTGAACCTGCTATGCGCTGCTGCTCTGTGCTGTTGCGTGCTACTCTGTTTTCTGTTTTGCGCTACTCTGTGTGTGTGTGTGCTGCTGTGTTTCCTCGTAAATTCATGTTCCCCCGATTCCTCCTCTCCCTTTTTTTGTGCCCCCCCCCTCCCCCAACGCAGATGTCTGGTTGATCCAGAACTGTGGTCTCAACGGTCATTGTGTTCCTGCTGGTAATGCGGCTACCTGTTTGTGTAACTCTGGCTATGTGCTGCAGGAGGATGGCAGGACGTGCAAGGGTACGTGCTGAAACTGCTCTGTGCTGCTCTATGTGGTTCTGTTTGCTCCTGTGCGCTTCTCTGTGTGCTGCTGTGGTTGCTCCTAAATCCATGTCTCAGCTCCCTCTTTGTTGCCTCACCCCCCACGCAGATGTTTGTGAGATCCAGAAATGTGGCGCCAACAGCCAATGCTTTCGTGGTGGCGACGGGGCGTTCTGTGTGTGTGACCCTGGTTTTAAGTTGCAGCCGGATAACAGGACGTGCATCAGCGCCCCACCTGCACCTGGTGGGTGATGCTACCGTGAAGTCCTGCTGTGCTGCCTATTACGCCAATGCTTTCACTACTATCACGAGTTCCGAACATCTCGTGTGAAATATCTTGGCTTTCAATCTTTAACCCCACTGCCCCTCATGTCACGTCCTCTCCACTCCACCCCTCTCCCCTCTGCGCTGCCTCTAACCCTTCCAGAGCCAACACAGCACTGTGTGAAGAGCTGTGGTGTGAGCAAGCACTGTGAACAACACAGTTTCTTCTGCACCATCCTCGCCCATTCCTCCACTCCACTCATCACCCCCCTCCCCCATCCCTCTGCCCCACGCAGACACCTGCGTGGCTCAGAACTGTGGTGCAAACGGCCGGTGCATCAAGGACGATACTGGAGCGGCGTCCTGGGTGTGTGAATCCGGCTTTGCACTGCAGGCGGATGGCAGGACGTGCACTGGTACGTGTGGAGCCTGCTGTACGCTGCTCTCTGTGTGCTGTTGAGTGCTACTCTCTTTTAGTTTTTGCGCTTCTCTGTGTGCTGCTTTGTTTCCTTGTAGATTCAAGTCCCCTCGACCCCTCCTCTCCCCTCTTTTCTGCCTCTCCCCCCACCCCCCTCCCCCACGCAGATGTCTGTGAGATCCAGAACTGTGGTGCCAACGGCCATTGTTTCCCGTCTGGTGACGGGGCTGTCTGCGTGTGTGACAATGGCTACGTTCTGCAGGATGATGGCAGGACGTGCAAGGGTACGTGCTGAAACTGCTGCGTGCTGCTCTATGTGATTGTGTGCCCTGCTCTGTGCTGCTGTGCGCTACTCTCTGTGCGTCTGCGATTGCTCCAAAATTCATGTCTCCGCTCCCCTCTTTTCTGCCTCTCCCCTCTTTTCTGCCTCTCCCCTCTTTTCTGCCTCTCCCGCCAAGCAGATGCTTGTGTGATCCAGAACTGTGGTGCCAACAGCCAGTGTGTTCCTATGCTCAACGGGGCTGCCTGCCAGTGTGACGAGGGCTTCCAGTTGCAGTCAGATTACAGGACGTGCCTCCGCCCCAAACCTGCGCTCATCGAGTGTGCCCCGGGTTACCAGCTGCAGGCGGATGGATCGTGCTTCCAGCCTGTGACCGAGTGTCCCCCGGGTTGGGAGCTGCAGGGCGGTGTGTGTGTCTACACGCAACTTCCATTTGAGGAATTCGGTGGGTAATACTACCTCGACTTGACGTGCTGCTGTGCTGCTGCCTCCAGTGCCAATGGCTTCACCACTCTCATGTGTTCCCATCATCTCGTTTGAAGTATCTTGTCGTCTTCATCTTGAAGCCCACCATCCCTCATTTCACGTCCCCACCATCTCTCTCCCCTCTGCGCCACCTCTACCCCACCCAGTGACCTGCTCCATGATTTGCAATGGTGACAACAAGCACTGTGACGAAAATCAGATATGTGTGTGTGTGTGACGATGGTTTCGACATGCAGTGGGATGGGTCGTGCGTCTTCAACCGACCTCCACCTGACGACATCTACTACAGTGGGTGCTGCTGTGCTGCCTCCGATGCCATTGGCTTCACTACTCTCGTTCGTTCCCAACATCTCGCTCAATATGTCTTGTCGTATTCAATCCTGAACCCCGCTACCCTTCTTATCACGTCCCCTCCGCCTCTCCCCTCTTTTCTGCCTCTCCCCCCATGCAGATCCCTGTGACACCCTGAATTGTGGTTCTTATGGCGAGTGTATTCAATCTGGTCTTACCACGGCTTTCTGTCAGTGTTACTCGGGTTATGAGATGCAGAATGGGGAGTGCGTGCTGCAGAACAGCCAAGGCCCACCTCAAATCGGTGGGTTATGCTAGCTTGAAGTGCTGCTGTGCTGCCTCCAGTGCCATTGGCTTCACTACTCTCATGCGTTCCCAACATCTCGCTCAATACGCCTGTCGTCTTCAATCCTGAACCCCACTACCGCTCATATCACGTCCCCTCCGCCCCTCTCCCCTCTTTTCGGCTCTCCCCCACGCAGATCCCTGTGCCACCCTGGAGTGTGGTGCGAACAGCAAATGCAATACTGTTGGTAACGCGGTTACCTGTGTGTGTGTCGATGGTTACGAGATGCAGAATGGGTGGTGCGTCTCCAGCCTACCTCCACCTGCAATCGGTGGGTGATGCTACCTTGACTTGACGTGCTGCTGTGCTGCCTCCAGTGCCAATGGCTTCACTACTCGCATGCGTTCCCAGCATCTCGCTTAATATGTCTTGCCGTCTTCTATCACGTCCCCTCCACCCCCCTCCCCTCTTTTCTGCCTCTCCCCCCCCGCAGATCTCTGTGCAAACGTGGACTGTGTTCCGAACAGCAAATGTGTTGCTGGAGCATTCTGGACTACCCGTGAATGTGACCCGGGTTTCACGTGGCGGGCGGACGAAGTGTGCATCCCACTTCCATCTGCAATCGGTGGGTGATGCTACCTTGACTTGAAGTGCTGCTGTGCTGCCTCCAGTGCCATGCGTTCCCAGCATCTCGCTGAAGCTGTCTTGTCGTCTTCAATCCTGAACCCCACTACTGCTCATATCACGTCCCCTCCGCCCCTCTCCCCTCTTGTCTGCCACTCCCCCCACGCAGTGCGCTGTGCATCCATGGACTGTGGTCCGAACAGTGCATGCTTAGATTATGCTGACAAGTCTGTCTGTGAATGTAGCTACGGTTACGAGATGCAGAATGGGCAGTGCGTCTACAACCCCCCTCCATCTGGTGCGTGATGCTACCTTCAAGTGCTGCTGTGCTGCCTCCAGTGCCATAACTTTCCTACTCTCATTTCATGCGGTCCCAACATCTTGTGTAACTTATCTTGTCGTCTTCATTCTTGAACCCAACATCCCTCATTTCACGTCTCTTCTGCTCCTCTCCCCTCTGCGCCGCCTCTAGCGCGTGCAGCTGTTATCTAGCGCATGCAGCTGTGCTGTTGTGCTGCCTCTAGTGTGTGACGGTAGCTCCTGCATAGTTTTTTCACGCCTCCTTGTTAAATCCTTTTCCTGCCCCTCCTGCCCGAACCTCATAATCTCTTCAATTCTATTTTGGTTTGGTGTGCTACAGTGTCATTGCTACTCAGCTGTTACACGATATGTTACTTTCTACATCCACCCACCCTTGGTCCCACATTTGTGTCTCCATCTGCCACGCTCTTTCACCCCAACTCCTTCCCAATGCTACTATTGCGGATTCTTCGACTTCTTCGGATTTAACTAAAAATCAAGAAACTGTTCTGGTAAGTTTCACACATGGTGGTAGAGGTTTGCGTGTTGAGGAATCAATGGTAAGTTTCTATTCTCCACTCTTTACGCCATCCTCTTTATCACACCTTATTGCCATCAGCTGGTCCACAATACGTATGTACCTTTCCACATCCACCCACCCCTTCTCTCTCTCACTCCCTCTCTTTCTCTCCCTCCCCCCTCCCCCCCTCTCTCTCTCTCTTTCCCCGTCCCTCCCTCGCAATGTTTTGTCTTCGCCTTCAACAGGCAAGGTGCATCCTCATCACTCCCGTGACCGCACATCCCGCGGTGTGGGAGCACCCATCAGCCACTCTCGTCATCCCATCAGCCACTCCCGTCATCCCATCAGCCACTCTCGTCATCCCATCAGCCACTCTCGTCATCCCATCAACTGGTCTTCCAGCTGCTGTCTCTTGCAACTTAGGGCACGGCAGGCCAAGGGCTGAAGGCATGGATTGTGTGCATCAGGACCCTCGCTGATTGAGTGTCTTTAGAAGGGAGGATGGAGAGAAGGGGTTTTACCTTTGTGTGGCTTTCCCTTACAAGGGGGTAAGATCTCCATGCACCAGGGTACAAGTCATCAGCTGCATTCACTGGGGCTCAGGGCTTATTTTCTTGTTTTTCTGGTTGCCTTTGGCTGATTGTGGTGTGTGTTTCTTTTGTTTGTTTCCTTTGGGGGTGGGTTGTAGCGGTTGGTTAGATCTGAATATAGGAATGTACCCCTCAGAGTACATGACTAGCTAGAACTGCCTTGTACTAGTGTCTACAGTAAATGTTTGCTTTTGATCGGTGTTCCTGATTCATGACAGGATATGACAAGCAGCATTGAAGTTGCCTTTTTTTCCCAGTTTCACAAGTGCTGATCCTACGGTAATTTTGAGAACTTTCGCCGGTACGTTCATTTGCATGCCAATGTAGCTCGAGGAAGGAGCAAGGAAGGATGGGGCAGGAGAAGCAGAAAGGGGTGTACAGTCTTAAAGCTCGCGTCTCATATTTCCAACCGTTTAACACTTGGTTGGGTTTGCTTGACTGTGATTGGGTAACGAAAGCGAAATATATGACGAGTGGGTGAAAAAGTCACAGGAAACTACCAAAACAGTCGAGGCCAAAACAAACCAGGGTGGGTTGGTTTGGGTGGAAAACGAGCCAAGGGGGACAGGTTCGGTCCCCCCTTCTGTCAACGTTGAGTTTCAGAGTCTCATATTTTCGGAAGTTGTAAACGCTTGGTGTGCACGGGAAGTGTGCGACAGCCAACTCTCCCAAACCACCCCTTGCTTTGGTGTGCTTTGCGACAAACTTTGCTGTTACCAAATTCCAACCGTTTAACACTTGGTTGGATAGCAGAAATATGAGACGCGAGCTTTAAGAGCGGCCGGAGCGCGCGAGATAAAAACATACGAGGGGTACTCTGGGGGATACTACAGCTTTAACCAACCCCACAAAAAACAAACAAAAGCAAATTACATGGCCAACCAGCACACACTACCGTATCATCCTGGCAGGGCTGGCGTTTCAAATTCAAGCACTCTGATCTTCACCCCAAAAAAAAAAATTTTACTCTGAAGGAACTTCAGCCAGAAATGAGGCACTCTGATTGGTCAGTGCCCTGAAGTCAGACAGTCTGACCAATCAGGGTCGGCGGATCCGCATCAGGGAACATGATCAGCGCTGCAGGATACTTGTGTGATTTGTCGCATTTTTCCAAGTGTCGCGTGAGAGCCAAATTTTTGTCGCTATTTATAGCAATTGTTTGTCTGTGGCTTGCTCTGACTGTTCCAGTTCATGTGTGATGCTAGCAATGCAAGCGAGCTGCCTCGCAGCTGAGCTGGCAGCAGTCAAGAACAGTCGCTTGGTGCGGGAGAACCTGGCAGTGCTGCACGTAACTTGTTCGGCAGCGTTGTACGAATCAGCAGCGAAATCATTTTCTGACCAGCCTACACCTTGGGTGCACCAATCTCTTTCCTTTTCATTGAGATTTAGGTGATTGTCACACGTTTTGGCACGGAGAAAAGTCTCGAAGCACCAAACATTGCGATATACCAAATGTGCGGAGAACTTATCTTCCAACGATTCTTTGTTCTATTCGCCGATTTGTTGAGCAATCGGCTAGATTTCCCAGTTTGGCTCCGTTAAATTTCCCGCTTCACCACTTACCATTAACACCATTAGCACTGCATGATGATTGTGAAGATCGAGTGCATTCGAGTGTCAAACAGCTGGTGCACCGTGCCTTGCTCACGTGCTGGCACTTTTACTGCTCAAAGTGGGTATATTGAAAGGAACTTTCCAAGAAGCTTCGTCTCGATAAACTCGCATCCAGGGACCACAGGAAGTATACTCTGTAGGGTCAGACTCCAGAAATGTTTGAGTCTGAGTCCTATTACACTGAATCAGGGGCCATAAAACAATAAGTCTGAGGCACTCAGTGATGAAATTTTGACTACTCTGGAAATACATTTTTCACAAAGTGGATGGTCTGATTCGTCAGACTAATCAGACTAAATAGTCTGATAGCGTCAGCCCTGCATCCTGGATATGACCAGCCATGGAGCTCTTGCCCCCTCGTAAGGCAAGACCCAAGGACCAAACCTTTCCTCTCCATACTCCATTCCACGCAGGGGCAGGCTTGATGCCCACAACTCAGACCTTTAGCCTCTTCGCACGATGTGCCCTAGTTTGCATGAAAAAAAACTTCAAAGACTAGCTGATGGGATTGGCTATAGGGATGACGAGACTGGTTGATGGTGGGTTGCCACGGGATTGATGAGGATGGGTCGCCAAGGGATTGATGAGGATGGGTCGCCACGGGATTGATGAGGATGGGTCGCCACGGGATTGATGAGGATGGGTCGCCAAGGGATTGATGAGGATGGGTCGCCACGGGATTGATGAGGATGGGTCGCCACGGGACTGATGAGGATGGGTCGCCAAGGGATTGATGAGGATGGGTCGCCACGGGACTGATGAGGATGGGTCGCCACGGGACTGATGAGGATGGGTCGCCAAGGGATTGATGAGGATGGGTCGCCACGAGATTGATGAGGATGGGTCGCCACGGGATTGATGAGGATGGGTCGCCAAGAGATTGACAAGGATGGGCTGCCACGGGATTGATGAGAATGGGTCGCCACGGGATTGATGAGGATGGGTCGCCACGGATTGATGAGGATGGGTCGCCATGGGATTGATGAGGATGGGTCGCCACGGGATTGATGAGGATGGGCTGTCGAGAGGGTTAAAGGTGTGTGATTAGGTCTAGGATGGGGTACAAACAGGAATGTCAAGGTGAGAACTCTACCCCCTAAGGCTAGCCCCTATATAGCCTAGACAACTTAATACACATATATTTTGACACACCCCCATAGGCGAAGTGGGGGATAGCCAGAGCAAAGAATAGTCACAAGACCATTCAGGAGAAGAACAAAGCAAAAGCAAGCTCAAGGTGGATCACAAAGTCACCACACACCCTAAGCACAAGCAAATGGCCACAAGGCCGATCCACATGCAGAGTTATATAAAAGACAGCAAACAGTACAGTGATCACTACCTAGCAAGAGTAAGCATGCAGGTATATATATAGGTCACAGCACAAGCAAAATCAAGTAGTGAGCAAGTGAGGCAAAACAGGCACAAGGCCCAACATAGTACAGAAGCGCTGATGATCACAAGGCTGAAGTGCCTTGGTGAATATATCAGCAGTGTTGGCCCGAGTGGCCATGTAAGCAAGACGAAGCTGACCATGCTGCTGCAACTCTCGAGCAAGGAAGTAACGCAGAGCGATGTGCTTTGTTCTGTGCTCCAGTCTGTGCTCCTGACACAAGGCAATTGCGGCCTTGTTGTCTACGTACAGAACAGGAGGAGAACGAGGCGGCTCTCCCAAGTCAGACAGCAGGTAGGTGAGCCAGCGTAACTCCTGTGCAGCCATGGCTGTCGCGTAGATCTCAGCCTCACAACTGGAGCCATCGACCGGTGCCGACGTGCAATGTGTTTCCTACATTGGCAACAAATTGGCGCGGCACACTCTCCTCGACAAGGACTTAGAAGCCGATAACGCGTTGAATTTTGTCCATATCGACCTGTGTGGCCCGTTGAGTGTGTATTGGCGACTACACGCAACCTGTTGCCGTTCAGAGGGATTTGGTAGTGGAAGACTTGTTGTAGGAACCTTGTGCATAGTGAATGTAGATGACAAGATTGATTAAAAATGATAAAATACAAACAATAGATAGATCTAGCTAGCCTTGTATTCTAAGGAGTACATTCCCTTATTCCAACTGTTTTACAGGCAGTTCTACAGTGACTCTGACCATCACTCTTCTTCTTGTTATCGAGTCACTGCGTGTAACTGTATAGACAATTACGCCTGTTGCCGTTCTCGGCTGGTGATTCGTCGGTCCAGATGGTCAACGGTCGCGACAGTTGACCTTTGCGATTGTTGACCTTCCTGCCCTTGTACGGGCTGATCCAATACTACTGCTAGTGCTGCTTCGATAGTGACGGGTGCGATATAGTTGCACCTACGGGTATGCTTTAGTCGATTCCCTTCTTATTCCAACAACCGCAATATCAAAACATTATATGCTTTCTATCTTTCTAGGCTATGTAGGGGTTATCCTTACAAGGTACACCACATTTCTCGACACTCTTGTAACCCCCCCCCCCCCCCCCCACCTTACCTAATCCATCATCCTTCTTACTAGATTCTTACATGGTTTGAGAGACCAGGCCGTTCCTAGACCTTAGGAACTATTTTTTTAAAGGGCCTACCAGTGAAATTTCGCTTGCTTGTCCGTTCTGCCCTGCCCTGCCTATCGCGCATCCCGCTTGCTGCCTATTTTTTGTAAGTTGTGTAAACAAAGTAATGTCAGAACAAATAGCTTATCTAGTAAAAGTAACGCAGTTCCAATTCGCAACTGCGAGGTCGTCGCCCAATCGAATTTGTATTTTCTTCCCTACGTAACCTGTGCCTTGGTAACACCTGGTGAAATCCGCCAATGAACGTGCCAGCTCGTGAACTGACACCAATGGGCACAGCAAATACACGCGCTACACGTACGCGAGGTGCAGAAAGTTCAGATTCATACTTACGAGAGAGTAAGTTTTCAACCGTGAGCACAACAAATACGTGCATTACACGTACGCCAGGCGCAGAGAGTTCAGATTGAAAGTTACTGGAGGGTAGCTCCTGATTTGATTGAGATGTGCGGTTGCGATGCGTCCAACATTTCTCACCAGTTTCGAAGTGTCAATTGGGTATGATTTTTAGTGTCATTCAGGTATAGCCTGTGCAACTAACTATCAGGACAATCCACAGAATCCTTTCCGTAACTTTCAGTACCCCCTTTTTTTGCGATGTGCCTTTTCGTTTACCGCACGGCACGCTTTCGAAGCAGGCGGTGCGGAAGACGTGCCACCCATCCGCGCATACCCCTTGTCTGTAGTCACGTTCTTTGACTTGCGTTGCGAGCTCACGTTGTTCC